TACCATCTTATAGTAGAGAAGTAAAAAAAAAAGCAAAATAATGTAACGTAACAGAAACTAAATAGTTTCCAAATAATATCGCATATTTACAATATGAATTCTTCTACTGTATAAATTGGGAATTTCTAAGTGCATAAAAATATAGAAGTGCCTTTCCTACGAAAATGATCAAATTTTGGCATCTAAAAAAACCCTGAAAAGCCCTTTCCGAACACAATGACCAGTTTAAAAATCATAATAATACTATAATAACCATATTACTGATCAACAACGTAGGATTTTTTTTAATGAACCATGACTGTCACATGACTTGCTAGGGCTTCCTCATTCACTATCAATATTTAATAGCAAAACCGTGTGTATTTTACAGCATAAAGCAACATAAACACAATATCGTAGCAAATCCACATATATTAATTGGATTAAATTAATTTAATTGTATGAACGAGATAAATTGGATCGATTAACATGACTGCGGATTATGGCATCTCACTGCAGTCGCCATTATTTCATTAAACAAACGCTAAAAACACACCGACCCGGCAACATAAAACGACGTACATCTAAAAGATAAAGTATAACGTCAATTTACCTGATAAAAGGCCTAAAAGCGCAAACACCGTCTTGATAATTGTTCGATTCATCTCGGCAGGATTTTTCTGATGGACTGGTTTCCTTGCTACACCGGTCACGTGACACGGGCCTACCGCGTGACGTCGTGCGTCATGACGTGCTTCTGCTGTTCCTGTAGCGCTTCGGCTTTCTATCTATCTATCTATCTATCTAACTATCTATCTATCTATCTATCTGTACTTTTGTGTGACTTCATTTTTACCCTTATTTTAACTTTAAACATGATTCTTTTAACTTTAAACATAATAACCCTTTTATAGCCTACGTTTTATTATTTAGATTTTTTTACTCAGCTAGCTTACATCACTTAGCTTGTAGCACGTAGTGTATGTAGGCTACCAAATTTAATTTCTGACAGGAATGAAAACGAGGCTGTGAGGAATAGAGGTAGCTTATGTTCAATGGATTGTACTGTTGATTAGCAACATTCTGATAGTTCAGCTGAAACAAAAGTAGACAAAAACTTCATAAAAGGTGTGACTTGTGAAATTATCTCGGGCATTTGTCCATTGCTTACCATTATAAAGACCGTCTATCCCTCATAGCCTCGTTTTCATCCTAACTTGACCACGGTCTACTTTCTGATGAAATACTTTAATAACAGGATAGTGTACAATAATTCTGTATAATTAGAGAATAAATAGGCTACACTTTGATTTGATTCCATCTACTGCTACAACTCAAAAGCCAGGATAAAAAAACACTACTGAAGTTAAACTAGCAATTTGTAGGTCACAGAATTTATACGCATACATTTCTTGTTTTTATTAGCAATTTAAATACAATCTGAGGAACATGATCTTGTATTTCCAAGCCTCATATCGTTGATAGTTTTCTCCTACCTTGCTGATTTTCTTGTAATATCATCGTTATCCACTTGGAGGAGCTCTTGGTCCGTCACTAACTGCTCGTATCGAGCGCGTTTATCTCCACGAGCCAGCGATCATTTATTTCCCTGCGCCTGTGAGATTATTTTCACTTGTCTTCTAACGCAGACCATCGCCATATGTTCGGCCGAGAAGCCTTATATGACTCATGATATTTCAAAATAAGTCAACGAGTAATATATTGAAAATAAAGTCTGAGTTGAAAAAGAGGTAAAAAGGCTGCATGCATGGTAGTTATTTATATAAAAAATATACATACCTCGGTGAGCTGTAGGCTGATCATCAGATTGATGAGGAATCAGACGCTGAGAATATGTTTGGTAATTAAATTATATATAATACTGCTATATAGTATAGTACTGCTGCATATGACAAAATCATGGTATCTTTTCAAAAATAGGCAATAGTGTTGATGCACAATGTTTTATATTTACATCAAAAACATTGACATTGGCATTGAGAAAGGGTATATTTTAGGTCTTGTGACACACTTTGTAACACTCTCAACGCTTTTTTTATTTCAGAGTAGGCTACACATTTTCTGCATGCTCTTTCAGTTAAAGTCATTAATGCTGCATGCATAAATATATACCATATAAACATAGAATTTGTATAACTATAATAGAAAAATAATGAGCAAAATGCTAGTGTAAGATAGAGTTTAGCTTGTTACACTGCAATTATTCTTCTAATATACGTTCAAAACGCACATAGGCTACACACATCATTTGCTTTGGTCTTTTAGTCAATAACAAACATCAAAAAACCACCCACAACATAATCCATTTAACACGATCGTTTCAAAAGCACTGTTTCCCGTCTCTTCTTGTTTGAGGTCCGTTCTCGCCCTGAGCAGCGGGACTGGAGCGCGCTGAGCACCACCCCGTGACACGCCTCCTCTGATTTTCACATTCCATTAGGTAATTCAATAGCAGACAATTAGACTGACCCAGCCATCGGCCCACCCAACGGGACGCTGCCGACACAATGACCCTGATAGGGCAACGCTTCAGAAGTCTGCCTGGAGTTCCGTGTCATCCATCTGAGCATGTAAATGATTAATTACAGTTATAGAGAAGTGTAAGATATTATTAGATATATAATTATTATTATTTTAAAGGTATTTATGAATCATAACTATTTTAAATATTGTTTCAGGGTTATTCTTTGTGAAGATGTACCTTTTAATAAATATATGATATTAAAAACAATAAAATGGGTACCTGCAGAGAAGACAAAATGTATTATAAATATTATTATTATTATTGTTTATATATTTTTAAATTAAAATAAGCCAATTCTTGAATATCTTATTGTTTATTTTAAAGTTTAAAATAAAATTAAAGTTATTATTATTATTATTATTATTAAAATAAGTACAATTGTATTTATTTATTTATTTATTTAAGTTATAGTAATAAAACATTGTACCAAGCCATGTACGCCAATAAAA